TTGGGGTGGAGCAGAGGGATAAAGAAGTGAGATTTTGGGAATGTAGGAAAGTAATATGAAAAGGAGGAGTAGAGGGGACATATTAAAAGGATGGGACTGCATTATGGATGGGACTGCATATGAGTGTGCATAATTCAAAGTTAGTTATTGGAGTTTGTTATAGGCCTACCAATGTTAATGAGGAGGTGGAGACTCCTGAAGGTGGAGACAGATAGAAAGGGCTGAAAGGGCTAGGACGGTGATAATAACGGGGGATTTTAACTACCCGGAAATTGACTAGACCAATACTACTGCTTGGATAGTAAAAGGGCAGAAATTTATAAACCTATTACACAACAGTTTTATGGTACAGTTGATAGAAGCCCCAACTAGAAAAAGAATGCTCTGCTGACCCTGGCAATTTCAAACCATGCAGAGTTTATTACTAATGTTCATGTAAAAGAACATCTGGGTATCAGTGACCATAACATGATTTCATTTAACCTTAGCTGTAAGCAACAAGCACATACTGGAAAGATGAAACATTTAACTTTAAGAAAAAAAAATTCCAAGGCTTGCTCTCAAAGACATGGGAGGGAATATTGTCATTGAAGAACACAGAACAGAAATGGGAATTCTTCAAGTCGACTGTATGTAAACACAAAGCAAAATATATTCTCAAGGGCAATACATTTAAAAGGCTAAAAATAAAGCCTACGTGACTCATGACCAAAGTTAAAAAAAAGCTATAAATAATAAGAAAAGAGCATTTAAAAAAATATAAAAATGAAGGAATACTATTATTGTTTAAAAGTTACAAAGAATATAACACAATGAGTAAATTGAAATTAAGACAGCAAAAATTCAAAACTAGCAACAGGTTGCAAAGGAGAGTAGGACAAATCCCAAAAAACTCAAGTCTGAGCATGTAGGCTCTTCACAAAATAATTTAGAGTTGGTGACTGGGAACAAAGAGAAGGAAAATTTATTAGTGGATTCTTCAGCTCTGTGCATACAAAGGAACATGGGGGAGTTCAAGTCCGTAATGGGGACAGAATTCACAGAAGTCAAAGGAGTGACTGTAGTATAGTATACTTACATTTTGCAAAAGCATTTGAAACAGTTCCTCACAGTTAAAGTCTAAAGGCTTGGAAAATTCAGTTTGTAAATGGATAGAAAACTAGCTAAGGGCCGGTTCACACTATAGAAACACCGTCCAGATGTGTACCTGCATGTGCATTTTTGGTGTGTTCCGGTGCATTTTTGGTGTGTTTTTTTTACATTCCAGTTCATTTTTTCCCCTCTCTTTTTCTTCAATTTAAATAGGGATATGTGCATTCCAGAGTGTTTTTGTGTGTTCCGGTGCATTTTTTCTATGTGTTTTATCGCATTCCAGTACAGTTCTGTGCAGAAAAAAATCCAGCATGCTTTTTTTCTGCAAGCTGCAAGCAATGACTATGACATTGATAATCATATAACCTACTTTCTCTGCATTTTAGATGCAGAAAAAAAGCAACTGAAATGCATTTAGGGTGTACTGGCCCTAAAAGACCAAATTCAGAGAGTATACTTAGAATGGTCTAAGGTTAGTAGTGATGGACCAGGAGGTTCTGAGTTGGGACCCTTTCTTTTTATTATATTAATAAATTATAGGGTTTTGGATTAAAAGTTTCAGTTTTTGCAGATGACACCAAGCTATATAGTGGAATAATATCCTTACAGGATGTTTCCAACCCCAATGTACTGTTTATTTGGGCAACTACTGTATGTGGCAAATGAGGTTTAATGCTGATAAAAGTAAAGTTATGCACTTGGGGGCTAAACACATGCATTATACATTCAAGGAAAAGAACAGCTGGGGGAGTCAATGGTGGAGAAGGATCTGGGTGTTCTGGTAGATCAGATTTAGACTTAAAATAACATGCAATGCCAAGTTAATTTCTAAAGCAAGCAACATACTGCTTGTATCATGACATTGTTTTGACCCTGTACAAACCATTAGTAAGAGCTCACCTACAATGTAGAATGTGCAGTTCAATTTTGGGTGCTAGTTCACAAAAAGGACATTGGGAAACCAGAGAAAGTGCGAAGAAGGGCAACCAAACTGATAAGCAGCATGGAGGAGCTTGGCTATCAGGAACCATGTACAAATATACAAATGGTCAATATAGTGAACTTGTTTTAGAGTTATTCACTGTAAGGTCATCACAAAGGACAAGGGGCACTCTTTAAGTCTGGAAGAAAAAAGATTTAACCTCCAAACTAGACATGTGCAGTTTGTTTTTTTCCCGAATCTAAATTCGGATGAATTTTCTGTTATTTGGAGATTCGGATGTATCCGAAATCCGAATGAGAATAGTAACGAGTTTAAACGAATCTGAAATAACGAAACAAAATTCGGCCAAAATTTAAATTCGAAAACAAATTAAAATATGAAAACAAATTTGAAAACCAATTTGAATTTGAAAACATGAATAGAATGAAACAGAACAGAAAAAAAAGAAATAGAAAAGAATAGAATATAAAATAAAAGAATAGAATAGAAAAGAATAGAGGAAAAAAAGAACAGAATAGAAAATAAAAGAATAGGACAGAATACTGTAGAAAATACTAGGGTAAAACAGAAGAAAATAGAGTAGAAAATAAAGGAATAGAAAAGAATTGAATCCATTAGAATAGAATGGAAAAGATTAGAATAGAAAAGCAAAGAATAGAATAGAAAAGACTAGAATAGAAAATCAAAGAATAGAATAGAAAAGAATAGAATCAGTTAGAACGTATAGAAAAGATTAAAATAGAAAATTAAAGAATAGAATAGAAAATAATAGAGTAAAACAGAGGCAAATGGGACAGAAAAGAAAGGAATATAATAGAATAAATTAGAATAGAATAGAATAGAAAAATAGACTAGAAAATAAAAAAATAGAATAGAATAAAATAAATAAAATAGAAGGAATGTAACTGCCTTCCAAAATTCGATTTTTAAATATAATGAATTTGAACAGAATACATTAGAATAGAATATAAAATAATGGAATAGAATAGATTAGAAAAGACTAAAATACTTTTAAAAAAAATTGTGAGCTGCACTATGGTGATGTGAGAAGTGATCAACAAAGGCACTGTGAAAATGTTGCTGAAATAGAAAATTCATATATGGTCATGCAACTCTTCATATAGCCCATATACCATCACAAACACATATGGATTATGAATTGTAACGTTAGAATGATTATCAAATCCGTTGGAATTGTTTTATAATCCATTAGAATTATTTTCGAATCCATTAAAATAATTTTTGAATCCGATTGAAATTTCGACTTCGGTCGAATTTGAATAAACAAAACAAATTCCGAAAAATGAATTAAACAAATTTAACTAACGAAAATAGTCAAATAATGAATCGAAACAAAACAAAAGATTAACATTATGTGATACACAATCCAGTTTACAGAATGCAATGATCCAGAATGTCACAAACAGTTCAGCACAAGAGTGCAGTGGTCAGCAGCATGTCATATATTATATATAAAAGACAAAAATGGATAATAGTGAGCGCTCTTATAACACAGCAGCTAAAGCACCTAAGGCAACCACAATGCCTTTGAATGTAAATGTAAACGAAGGTAAATGGTGCAGCGCTACAAGAATGAAAACTGAAGACAGTCAGAAGTCAATGTAATAGTATCCGTGGTTTCTTATATAGGGTGCAAACTTCCAAAGCTCTTGCGGCCTTAAATAATAGCAATGCGCACTCACCAGAAACGCATGGGTTATGCGCATGTAGGAATAATCATTCCAGATGTCAGATCCTCCAACATTCAGATGGCAAGCATCCCTCTCACGGTGGGTCGCCGAAGACTCAAAGCCAGATCCTGAGGTCCTCCTTAAGGTATATCAGGCACTTCACAATGGTGGTGGGACTCTCTCCACTGAGTGGTAATGGCACCTTCTCTGTGGGGGTAACAGCTCCACAAGGGAGCCCCAGAAAAAAACACAGGTGCCAGAGATAGTGTAGTAGGTTTAAGAAAATTTTATTTGCCTTAGCATAAAATATAGGGTAGCATGCAAATCCAGACCCATACAGGTTAAATAAGGATAAGGTAGCAGTGACTGACCCTAGTAAAGATGTCCGCCGAGCCTCCTCGTGGCTCCGGCGGTGCGAATGACGTCACGCTCTGTACAGCTCCTCCTTAGGCCTTTCGTGCCAAAAGCACATCATCAGAGGGGGGCCAGACAGCCTCCCCTCTGATGATGTGCTTTTGGCACGAAAGGCCTAAGGAAGCTGTACAGAGCGTGACGTCATTCGAACCGCCGGAGCCACGAGGAGGCTCGGCGGACATCTTTACTAGGGTCAGTCACTGCTACCTTATCCTTTATTTAACCTGTATGGGTCTGGATTTGCATGCTACCCTATATTTTATGCTAAGGCAAATAAATTTTTCTTAAACCTACTACACTATCTCTGGCACCTGTGTTTTTTTCTGGGGCTCCCTTGTGGAGCTGTTACCCCCACAGAGAAGGTGCCATTACCACTCAGTGGAGAGAGTCCCACCACCATTGTGAAGTGCCTGATATACCTTAAGGAGGACCTCAGGATCTGGCTTTGAGTCTTCGGCGACCCACCGTGAGAGGGATGCTTGCCATCTGAATGTTGGAGGATCTGACATCTGGAATGATTTATTCCTACATGCGCATAACCCATGCGTTTCTGGTGAGAGTGCGCATTGCTATTATTTAAGGCCGCAAGAGCTTTGGAAGTTTGCACCCTATATAAGAAACCACGGATACTATTACATTGACTTCTGACTGTCTTCAGTTTTCATTCTTGTAGCGCTGCACCATATATTATATATGATCTTCCCTCCCATATAAAGAAATCAAAATCCATCCCTTCAAAACATACGATGTATAACCGGTTTGCCCACCACCCTATAGCATAAAAACTGCTACAGGGCAGCAGGGCTGTGCAAAATCACGTACATATTTGTGATTTTGCATGTCCGGGTAGGGGGCACGTGTGTCAGTATCACTGACAGGGGAGAAGTCTGTATGTAAACAATACAGATCTGTCCCCTGTCTGCTCCAGCACACTGCTTTGTATTGCTCTGTCTAGCAGAGCAATACAAAGAAATGTGCTTACACTGTAAAACACACACACAGCACACAGTAAACCATTTGATCGCCCCAGATGTTAACCCCTTCCTGCCCAGTGTCATTAGTACAGTGTCAGTGCTTTTTATTAGCACTGATCCCTGTATTGGTGTACTGGGGATGTCAGTGACAGTTAGTCAGTTCTCCCCCCAGTGTCAGAATGCCCCCGCAGTCCCGCAATTCTGCTATAAGTCACTGATCGTCACCATTACTAGTATAAAAAAAATTCCAATATATATAGGTATACCCCATTTGTAGACGCTTTCACGTAAACCAATTAATTTACACATATTGGGATTTTTTAGCAAAGACATGAAGCAGAATACATTTTGGCCTAAAGTTATGACAAAATTAAATTTTTAAAATGTTTTTACTGGATATATTGTATAGCAAAATGTCAAAAATATTGTTTTTTTCTGAAAATTGTTGGTATTTTTTTGCTTATAGAGCAAAAAAATAAAAAATGCAGAGGTGATCAAATGCTACCAAAAGAAAGCTCCATTTGTGGGGAACAAAGGACATAAATTTAATTTGGGTGCAGTGTTGCATGACCGCACATTTATCAGCTAAAGTAACGCAGTGCTGTATCACAAAAAATGGCCTGGTCAGGAAGGGGGGGGGGGACAAGTGGTTAAAGTAGGACCCTGAACAAAGAGCTAAAAAGGTATGTTTTCTGTTTATCCTGTCAGAAGTTTGTAATCTCATTTAGCTGCTCTTGTGATTCTTGCCAGAGTACAAAGCCAGTAAAATCACCCTGCTGCATTCATGTTCAGCTTTGCTGATTCCAGACTCCTATCAATGGTGATTGTACAGAGGTGGGTATTTAAATCATTGTCCAATGAGCTGGTTAGAAATGGAGAGCTGACATTACTGAACTAGTAAACAAGTGTGACACCTGGCTGACTATATGTTTCAGAGGTATGCCATTCATGAGATTTTCCAGACAGAATTACAGCTCTATGGCAGGTAAACCTGTATTTAACTAGTTGCCTGGAGTTCCACATTAAGTCTAGGTTCACACCTATGCATTTTCCACATTTTACGTTTTGCAGAAACACACTACATTCCATTTAGCATGATTCCTATGGGACACGTTCACATCTTCACATTTTCACCCAGTGCGTTTTTTTGGAAAAGGTCAGGGACTTTTTTAAATGCAAAACTTTGTGTTTTTTGTCCTATAGACTTCAATGGAGATGCTGCAGAAAAGCATGTAGTGCATTTTTGCTGCTTTTTGCATTTTAATCTGCCTAGCAACAAGAAAAAAAACCCTGCAAAATGCATCAAAAAGGCATGTGCCAAAACGCACCGCAAAAAGCACTGCAGAAACGGATCAAACGCAAATTGCATAGGTGTTAACCTAGCCTAAGAGACACCTAATACAAAGAACTACCCACATTGTTTTAAAAAATAATGATGTTTTACTCAAACAATAAGGGACATAATAATGTTGTTTCTATTACTGTTACAATAAAACATATTATTATGGGTGGTGCAGCGTTCTTTTTGTAACAGGTCTTTTGTGTTCTGTTAATTGGCATTTGAAGCTGTGGAGTCCTAGTGAGCACACCTAGAGATGTGCTGTTCACACCTCTTGCCCTTCAGAACCTGTATCTGAGAATAGTTAGTACAGATATTTTCATTTACAGGTAGAAATGTTTTGCAACCCTCCTTGTGTAGGATGCCACTGGTTTTAACTTTGAGTTTGATAGAACACCCCTCTAATAGCTGTATTTAAATAACTGCTGATTTAAAGTATTTTCTTTGAATGAATGTTTAGCACTTGTAGTTGTAGCACTTTCAATTTAAAATAACCCTGTCCTGAGAGAAAGATATATACTATACATATATTTGAATGGCCCCCACGCTCGCCTGCCCTAAATCCAATAGAACACCTCTGGGGTATCATGTTTCGGTACATCCGACACCATCAGGTTGCACCTCAGACTGTCCAGGAGCTCAGTGATGCCCTGGTCCAGATCTGGGAGGAAATACCCCAGAACACCATCCGTCGTCTCATTAGGAGCATGCCCCGATGTTGTCAGGCATGCATACAAGTATGTGGGGGCCATACAAACTATTGAGTACCATTTTGAGTTGCTGCAATGAAATTTCATCAAAATGGACTAGCCTGCTCCATCATTTTTTCACTTTGATTTTTGAGGTATCTTTGAATTCAGTCCTCTGTAGGTTGATAATTTTCATTTCCATCAAACGATGGGGCATCCTTACGTCCCTAACACATTACCCAGTCCATATCAGTATAGCTATCCAGCATGATTTTTCCCCCATTGAAATCTGATGTGTTACTTAAATTTTTTTGAGCAGTGTCTATATACACTATATTGTCAAAAGTATTAGGACACCCCTCCAAATCATTGGATTCAGGTGTTCCAATCACCTCCATGGCCTCAGGTGTTTAACCAATTCAATACCGGGCAATTTTACACCCAGGCCAGTTTTTAGGTTTCAGCGCTCTCACACTTTGAATGACAATTGCGCGGTCATACAACATTGTACCCAAACTAAAATTTTATAATTTTCTTCACACAACTAGAGCTTTCTTTTGGTGGTATTTAATCACCGCTGGAGTTTTTATTTTTTGCTAAATTAACAAAAAAAGACCAAAAATGTGGAAAAAAAAACACATGTTTTTCTTTGTTTCTGTTATAAAAGTTTGCAAATAAATAATTGTTCTTCATAAATTTAGGCCAAGATGTATTCTGCTACATGTCTTTGGTGAAAATAACCCAAATTAGGATGTATTTTTTAGTTTGTAGGAAAGTTATAGAGTTCACAAACTATGGTATAGATCTGAATATTGATCAATCCTGAAGTACAGACAGCCAATCTAATTTCTTGAGGTCCAAGAATGTCAGAACAGTACAGATATCCCCCAAATGATCCCTTTTTGCAAAGTAGACAGTCCGACATACTTCATAAGAGGCATGGCAAGTTTTTTTGAAGTTGTATTTTTTTTGTCATAATTTTTCAGAAAATGAAAAAAATTAAAAAAATTAGTTTCACTATTTTTTTTTTACATATTGTCACCAGTGCAGTACAGCGTCATCATATAACTGGCATGGCGGTGATCAGGGACACTGACTGCTGACAGTATGAAAAAAAAAATATATTTTTTTTTTTTATTATTTTTTATTAAATTATGTTTCTTTTTTTTAAGATTTTTTTTTTCATATTTCACTATGACCAAAGTAGTACAATGTTACCATAGCAACATTGTACTACTTTGGGGAAGTGATCAGTATTTTTTTTTTTTTTTTTTTTACACAATTCGCTTATAGCAAAGAATTACTGTATTGCTTTATTCAGAATTACCTGAATGACATCAATTCATTCAGGGTTTTTTTTTTTTTTTTTTTTTTTTTGTGCTTAGCTGTGATTTGGCCACAGCTAATCACATGATATGTGCATGTGATCGCTGGGACCATTCACAGCTAGACACTAGTATACAATGGATGGCATGAATGAAGCCATCCATTGTATACAACTGTCATGTGACCTGCTGTGATTGGTCACAGCAGGTCACATGATACCGGCAACGGGGGGCCGATACTCAGATCTGTCATCGGCCGTGTCCGAGGTACACGGCCGGTGACAGATTGCGCCGTTGCGTGGCTCTGCAGGAGCGCAATCTGTGTATGTGCGGGAGGACGCCATATGGCGTCCACCCGGAACACTGTTGACATTTGCCGGCCGCCATTCGGCCATAGGGCGGGGGCGGCAAATGGTTAAAATCAAGCACCTAGGCATGCAGACTGCTTCTACAAACATTTGTGAAAGAATGGGTCGCTCTCAGGAGCTCAGTGAATTCAAGTGTGGCACCATGATAGGTTGCCACCTGTGCAATAAGTCCACCCATGAAATTTCCTTGCTACTAAATACTCCATGGTTAACTGTTAGTGGTATTATAACAAAGTGGAAGCAACTGGGAACAACAGCAACTCAGCCACGAAGTGGTAAGCCACGTAAAATGGCAGAAAGGGGTCAGTGCATGCTGAAGCGCACAGTGCGCAGAAGTTGCCAACTGTCTGAAGAGTCAGTAGCTAAAGACCTCCAAGCTTTGTGTGGCCTTCAGGTTAGCACAACAACAGCGTGTAGAGAGCTTCATGGAATGGGTTTCCATGGCCGAGCAGCTGCATCCAGGCCTTACATCACTAAGTGCAATGCAGTGGTGTAAAGCACACCGCCACTGGACTCTAGAGCAGTGGAGACGTGTTTCTCTGGAGTGACAAATCACACTTCCCTTGCAATCCGATGGACACGTCTGGGTTTGGAAGTTGCCAGGAGAACAGTACTTGCCTGACTGCATTGTGCCAAGTGCAAAGTTTGGTGGAGGGGGGATTATGGTGTGGGGTTGTTTCTAAGGGGTTGGGCTTGGCCCCTTAGTTCCAGTGAAGGGAACTCTTAAGGCATCAGCATACCAAGACATTGTGGACAATTTCATGCTCCCAACTTTGTGGGAACAGTTTGGGGATGGCCCCTTCCTGTTCCAACATGACTGCGCACAAAGCAAGGTCCATAAAGATATGGATGAGCAAGTTTGGAATGAAGGAACTTGACTGGTCTGCACAGAGTCCTGACCTCAACCCAACAGAACACCTTTGGGATGAATTAGAGCGTAGACTGCGAGCCAGGCCTTCTCATCTGAGATCAGTGCCTGACCTCACAAGTGCACTTCTGGAAGAATGGTCAAACATTCCCATAGACGCACTCCTAAACCTTGTTGACAGCCTTCCCAGAAGAATTGAAGCTAATTAGCTGCAAAGGATGGGCCAACTCAATATTGAACCCTATGGATTAAGACTGGGATGCCATTAAAGTTCATGTGCTTGTAAAGGCACTCAAAGTGCATGTGTATGCATCCCCCATACTTAAAAAGGCCTCATTGGACCCCACCAATCTTAACAACCTAAGACCCATTTCCTTACTCCCTTTTTCCTCCAAGCTCCTTGAACGTCTATAGTCTATAACTGGCTGAGCTGCCACCTCATTGAAAATGACCTTTTTGATCCCCTTCAGTCTGGATTTTGCCCACAACAGAAACTGCTCTCCTAGAACTCACAAACGATTTACTAACAGCTAAAAACAATGGACATTATTCCATACTCTTACTCTTGGACCTCTTCACCACCTTTGACACAGTGGACCACTCCTCCACC